CTGAGCAGATTTACATAAATCACAGCTCAAGTGGCTTAAAAAGGAATGAACTTCATATACTGATGAGAACATGTGATAAACACTGAAGACATTAGCACATTCTCAGTTCTGTTGCTGATGTCACTGCTAGTTTCAGCAATAATTGAGTTTCTTTTAATGGGCATTGAATATAATGGGCACTATTTACCCTTTAGTTTACTAAATAATGCAAGATTTTAGTGCAGTAGATTTTGAAAGCTATTTGTCTCTTCTAGAAATGCTGATCATAAATGTGGAGTGGTTGTTTGTAACTCACTGACCCAAAATGTATAGTTAAATGCTGTAGGATTGGTGAAATCAGATGTTTGATAAAGATAGCAAGACAATCTGAAAGAGCAGGATTCTACCAGCAAGACTATAAGGTTAGCAGCTGTGTATCTGCAACCAGGGCACATTAGCTTTCTATACTTGTAAAATATCAGCAAAAACATATGAGAGATGTTAATGTGCACAACTCCATTGATTTATTTGGATGCAGGGCTCTCAATTGCCCTAGTATTGCATAGAGGCTACTGTCACTGGTGGATACGGTAAAATACAGTATTGTGGTAAATTAATATCCTATTCAAACTGTATTGCTCCATTAAACGTTGAATACTTATGGTACAGTGGACAGCAATTAAAAATTAGTGGGTGTGTTAGTTTAAAAGGGAACATTTGCTCAAAACACAATCAATTCCCTCTGCAGACTACAGTGTTTCTCAAAAAGACCAAATAGATCAAAAGAAATGTCATGTTTGTTGTGCATATGTTTCTGTAAACAGTTCCTACAGTATCTGAGCTAGGTACAAAACTAGCCATGAAACTACCCCCAATGAATTCTCACCAACTTATTGGTATTTATCCAGTTGATTCTCATTAATCCTGAATTCACATCAAATCAGCTATAGTAGATCCTACTGCCCCCGGCTGCTCCTTCTACTCAGCTAACATTGGTTTGCTTCAAGTCTTCTGCTCACCATTGGCGGGCGAACTTTCAGCCATTCTGCCTCACCTCTCTGGAACTCTATCCTGGATTCCTCCTCCTCAACCCCTCCCACCCCTTCCTCTCCGCTTTCAAAGCCCATCTTACGATCTATCTGTCTGACCCTGCTTTCAGTTATCTTCCACTCCCCCCCACTCAGTTTTACAGACCAATGCTGTACATATATTGTCAGTACTTTGAAGTGTAATTGACTGGCTAAGCTCAGAATTTAGACCATTAGAATACAGCTCCTTTATATTCCGTGTAACCAAATTAACAGGAGTCGAGGTGCCATTGCCAAAACTTGAGTTTTGCTTGCTAAAAATCAAAATAGCAGGGAGTAGGAGACTTAATTTTGGGTGTTGTGGGGTGAAGAAATGTGTAAAAGAGGAACAAGTTAAGATCTATCTATTTGTGCCGGGATGGGGATAAAGAAAGAATAAAGTATGAGGACTTAAGATTTAGGGGAAGCAACTAAAACTTCCTCACAAACAACCTGCATGTGTATGAATAAAGCCTTAAAGCTTCAATGTTTTGTTACGAGACTTCCAGCTACTATTGAATTTCATCACCTGTACAATCTCTAAACAAAATGCTAAACTTTATGGATTTAACACATGGATAACTTAAAGAAGCTTTGTTTTTTTCAGAAATAACTTCAAAGGCATTAAAATTGATGTTGCATTGGGTAGGAAGTAAATCTCCAGCATTATTCAGGAGTGTCACTCTCACCATGGTGACTAGCAATGTAAAAAATAATTCTGAAATGTTATATTGCCATTTTAAACACCGCAGCAGAAGAGCAATGATTTATTTTACCATTACACATATATTACTGATACAATAATTCAAATATCAGATGGGGAGAAACTGTTTCCTCTGGTAGGTAGGTCGGTAAGCAGAGGACAAAGCTTTAAGCTAATTGGCAAAAGAACCAGAGGAGAGACAAGGAGACATTTTTTTACCCAGAGTTGTTATGATCTGGAATGCACTGCCTGAAAGGGTGGTGGAAGCAGATTCGATCATAGCTTTCAAAAGAGAATTGGATAGGTACTTGAAAAGGAAAAATTTGCAGGGCTTTGGGGTAAGAGCGGGGCTAGTGGGTAGCTCTTTCAAAGAGCAGGCACAGACAAGATGGACCAAGTGGCCACTTTCTGTGCCGTAAGACTCTATGATTCTAAATGATTACAGTATCCTTCACACAAAGAAGTATCCTCCCAAAATGAGGAATCCACGAATGATCAATTCTAAGTGACAGTCAATCATAACCAGGTTGCCTCTAGATAACACAAAGCATCATCCACTCTTCTCTGCTAGCTGCCATAGTTGTTTCATTCAGGTCTTGTGTGCAGTTGAGTGCCACCATCTCAGCGTTGGCTTTCCGTGTAGGTCTTTCTCCAACTCGGATCTATTCTATCATCTTCCAAAGGTACAAATTTTCTGCCATGTAGTTCATTTTCCTAGCCCATCCTAGTTGTCTGACCCAAAACACACTGGACTATTTTGGGTACAGTATCTAACATTGAATACATCAGTTTTTTTAAAAAATCAGATCTTCATTTGAGGCGCTTATCAAGTAAAGAACATCATGGTAATTCTTTAACACAATAATGGTGTATTTTCAGCAGAACTAGAGAGGACTGTCCCTTTCAATTTGAATACTGTGATAGTTAAACAAGATCTGTCAGAAATTGGTCGTGCAGTAATCTCATGAAAAAATCTAATTGATTTGTGCTTTGTAAAACTTCATTTATGGATAAAATTTCTCCAAGTTTAAAACTACTTTTAATTGGTAAAAGAATTACTGAAAATACTCAGATTCATTTGTCAAAAGCCACATGAAAACAAAAAGATAAATAATTGAAGCATTCCAGCAGATGCATTCAATAGAAGTTGCAGCTCTAAAGGTTTGTAGGAAAATTACTTCAGATAACATTGTTAAGACTTGAATTCCACATAAAAGAAGCAATAAGCCATAACAAATGATTTCCAGTACCATTGTTTTGATACACAAGAGTGGGAATTAAACATGATGTTCATTCTATTATTTGGTTGGATTTTGGCTTCCTACTTTTTTGGCAGCCACATCATTGTACAAACTCGTGTCTAAGAATTCCTTTTTATAATCTCGCCCAAGAACCCCCTGAATCTTGTTCAGTACTAATAAAGGGAGCCCATCGTAATTGGACTAACTGACCACTGAACTGATTTACTGAACACAATTTACCAAGGCAACATTTATGGGTCCCAATGTGACTGAAAAATGTCCAATGTGAATTTCCAAGTGGGATATTTTCACTGCTTGTTTCATACGTAACAGTTCGGAGCTGTTTTCTTATCAGAATTATGCTTCATATAGAAAACACGGTAACAGGAGTAGGCCATTGAGCCCTTCGAGCCTGTTCTGCCATTCTATAAGATCATGGCTGATCTGTACCTCAACTCCAATTACCATCCCCCACCCTCCCACCGACCTGTATCCCTTAATACTCTGACCTAAACAAATATCTATCCACCTTAGTCTTGAAGATGTGAATGGGTCCAGCAACCACAGCCTTTGGGGGAAAGAGTGCACTGAGTGTTCAGAATGAAGACTTCTGTCTGAAATAGTAAATCTGTATCTTGGTAGTTTTTAAGGTTGAAAGGGTAGCTGTTGTATTCCTCCCATTTGGAGACTTGTGTATATGGAAACCCTGTTCATTAATTATTATTAATAATAATAATCCTTGCATTTGATAGTGTTTTATCAGGTTGTTGAGACGTCTCAAAGCGCTTCACAGAATATATTGTAAAGTGTACTTTTGTGCAAAGCAGCGTCCACAAACGGTCTTGGATTGAGTGACCAAATTATTATTATTTATTTAATATTTGTGAAGTGATTATTACCCCTGGAAAGCGCTTCACCAATCGAGTAACAACCGGGTTCCTACTTACTGCTAGGTAAACAGGCGAGTGGAGTAAAGAACTTGCGTAAGCTTTTGCCCTGCCAGGATATTGAACCTGGGTCCTCTCGCTCGTGAGGCGAGTGCTCTAACCACAGAATGGTACCGAATATAATTGAGTGGTGTGGTTCAGTACTGTGAGTTTGCAACTGATTTGCCGCAAAACCACAGGCTTTGTCCTGAACGCGATCAATGTACCTGCACCAGACCAGACGTGCACTTACACTGGGGCAAGACAAATGTGGGTGGTTCCCTCTTGTAAGATGGACCATCCCATTGTAGTGAGACATTCCATCTCGTGTCCTGGTCAAGAACTGACACAATGAACTCTCAGGAAGAACTTCGACCTGTTGCCATCTGGGTGGGAGGTAGGCACTCTGCCATCTGTATTCACAGGCCACCCAGATGTAAACAAGTTAGATTTGTTGTGCATGACATCACCCTATTTCACTTTGATAATGAACCACGGTTTACTTTTTTGCTAATGAACAATTTTTTAAAATCAGAACCTATCCAAGTTCTCAGGGTACACATAATCATTATTGTCTGACCTCTTTCTGGGTGGTCTGGTTTATTTTTAATTGAAGAGCTGATTAACTTTCTTGTTCTAGTACAGAATGCCATTGTGTGGTGTGGTTCAGTACCTTGGGTTTGCAACTGATTTGTCAGTGTTTTTTTTAAATATCAATGGAAATGAAATGCATATAACCTTTGATGTAGNAAAAAAATGAATTTTAGTAACCAAAAAAGGTTGCACTATATTTTCGATACAGAACTCCCATAGAACACTTTAGGGAATATCGAAACAAGGCTGTTATACAAATAGGCTCTAGTAGTTATTGAGCAATGAAGATACAATCTGGTCCATTTAGAATGAAAAATGTTAATGTTATGACACTCTACAATGTTAACAATGTTGAGCAAAGTTGCACATATTTTTCAAATCTGCCCCGTGGTTAAAACTAGGAATCTTTAAGCCATAAACTCATTTCTAAAACATTTAAATAAGAAATTAGAGACTCGGGTTTAATGTCACATTTATGTTTTATATGCAGACTGGTGCTGAATCTCTAAATTCTGCACAGAAAAAGCGTCGTGCTCCAGCTCCACCAGATCTCCCAGTACAGAAAACATTAGATAGAACAGAATTTGATAAGAGCAGTAGCCTTGGTAAGTGATCCTTTTCATGTTTCTAGCATAATTTTCAAGCACCGTTTGATCTAAATGCACAGATTTTTTGTTTGTAACTGTGGTTCATATCCAGAGTGGAAAATGACAATTGAATTAAGTTTCTTTCAACAACAGCGAGGACATGAGTGTCTGCCTTGATGAAAGAAGCAAAAGATAGTTAAATTGTGTAACTTTGTTATATCAGCAACATATTTGTGCATATATCCACTCAGTTATTGGATAGCACATATCTACTTTAATGTGTGTAAGATGAACGTCACCTCAGATGCCATTAATTTCCATTGATTAAGTGTGGCAAAGGTTGGATTATCAATGTTTGCTGAATCAACCTATGCAAAGTCTTTTAGCATGAAGTGCATCAAATGTTGGTAGGGCCAAAGTTATTCAGTTGTAATTATTGCTGAATGCAGCTGAAATATTTGTATCTCACTCAGCTATGAAATATATCAAAGGGGAGGGGGTCCATTTGTACAAGGCTGCCCTGAATGCTCCCCACTAGCGTTGAAATTCTGGTCATTGTTAATTATAGCGTTTTTGGCAATGTCGGCTGCTAATGGGATTATCCATTATAATCGCACATCACAAAGGTGCTAAGCGTAACGTAGCCTGGATGTCAGCCCACCTGCCTCCTATTTAATAAATGGTAAGTGGAGGAAACAACTGTATTTTAACTGTTTTAGGGAATAGGTTATTCTACAAGTGTAAAATCTACCCACTGCTAAATAAATTTGTAAAAGCATACCATTCATACAATTGCTATTAACCTCCATATTATGCTGCTACAAACTTCAGTTTTGCCATTGTGTCAGCCTGGCTCAGTTGTTAGCACTCTGGCCTCTGAGACATAAAGTTATGGGGTTCAAACGCCATGTTGGGACCTTAACGTTATCATTTAGGTTAAAACTCCAGTGCAATGCTGGGGGAGTGCACCGTTGGCGGAGGTCCCGTCTGTCAGGTGAATTGCTAATCCGAGGTTACGAGTGCCTGTTCAGATTGACATTAAAGATTCTGTGGCACAATTCGAAAAGACCCTGGCCAATAATCTCTCAGATAAAAAAATTGCTCCTCCATTTCACAGCTGTTTGTGGGACATTTGTTGTAGAAAAATTGGCTGCCCCATCCACCCACAAAGTTATTCTTTACAGAAAACCTTGTGAATGAATCACTTCGACACATTTCAACATGACGACATTTTTATCAAATGGAAGGAATATTATTTCTTTTGCTGTGTGGAACACTTAGTCAATGTTAATTTAGCTCATTTTTTTCAGCAAGAATGCTAAACGTTTCATCGGATTACTGAAGGGTTTACAGGTGTTATTTTCCAGATATACAGTACTTATAACCTTACTTGGTCCCTTATTTAGGTGTTACTGGACGTCAAGTGCCACTTAAGCCTCCAAGAGGCACACAGTCAGTGTTGGGCAATCAACGTAGCCCTCCCCAGTTAACCATCCCCCCTCCCCCACCATACCCACCTTCTCCGACCATTGAGATTACCGACCTGCCAGGAATGTCGCCAAAGTACAATCTCAGCAGCGAGGTGCCTGATGAACTGGGTAAATCAATGCTTGAATGTAGGTCCTCTGAAAAGTACATTCTGTCCTATTCAGTCTTAACATTTAATTCTTTGTTAATACTGATGCTTCTCGCTGGCTCCTATCGCTCTTTTCCATATTTCTATAAATTTCAAATCCATAAGTTGTTTCTTTCCAAATTAAGTACAACATTAAGTATTTTTAACCTTAACTCTCAGCTGGTTATTTTGCTGAAAAAGTATCAAAAAGAGTATATTTTGTAAATTTAGTTTAGAAAAGTAGCTTTAAAATATAAAGTGATTCTCACATTAAGACTACTTCATTAAGCATGAATTGCACCGAGACACCACAGATACATGAAGGTCAGTATAAATGCAAGTTGTTGTTATACTTATTTGCTTCCATGTAGGATTACATTTTGAGCTGGGGGGGGGAGGTCAAGTGATGCAATGAATTAAAACATTTATCCAACACAGATTGCTTGAATTAAATTATCAGCTATAACCAAATAATTTGGTGTAGGGCACCTCAGTTCTTAATGGGTCCGTGCTTTTAGCACACAATTGCCCTTGTTTCAGAACTAAACTGGCATCCTTTCTAAAACAGATCACAGGACTGTCTGTCTTAGAAAATGGAAAGTATGTAGTTATGCATTAGGATTGCAAGGTTAAGACATGTTGTAAAAGAGGCCTCAATCTGCATCAAACCTAGTAAACTTAATCTGAGAGTTGGAGGAAGACTAGAAAGCATTGAGTTAGGCTCTACTCAGAAGTGGTGCATTAAAAGTAAAACCTTCGCAAGAGCTGTACACATTCTTTAATTATGTAAAAATATGACCACAATTTGATGCCAGTTGGCGAAGCTTTACTCCCATGCACAACTCTGCTTACCGTCCAACAATGCAATTTTAGAGCAGGAAGTATAAATCAGACTTCCCACTTCAAATCACTTTAACAAATTGCTTTTAACATTATGAACCGAGCCTAACTGAACGGCAATGTGGCAAGACTTCCATATGTTTTTAAAGCAACACAGTTATGGAAGAATACAGAATAAAATGCTCAGTGATTAAAAAGTAGTCATATGATGTTAGCCAAACAATGGGTGACACAGAAGTCCATTGACAGTATTCACCAGTGTTGGCTTTGACCACAGATGATCTCACTGTTCCACATACACTGTAAATGAAGTAGCATTCATTTTCAGAACAAACTGTTTGTGTTCCATCGGAGGGTTCACTGAATTGTCACATAATCCTTCATCTTACCGAGTGAGTTAGCTGCATATCTCCTTGTTTCCATGTTTTATACTGCAGCTCGGCATTCACCCCAAAACTATCTGGTGAGTGATTGTATCAAATGTTGTGGTACTGAGCCACCCAGAAATATCTTAGGCTCAATCTCTAGATTATGCTGAGTTAGTCAATCTCTGATGTTGTACTGGAGGAGCACTTTGTTATCGAAGATGTCGGCCTTCAAGTCTGGCATCAAACTGGGTCCCATCTGCCTATTCAGTGGACGTTAAAACTCCCTGACACTATTTGAAAATAGAAGAGAGTTTTTCACCTGTGTCCTGGCCAACAATCCTCCAGATCAATTAGTCATTCTCTTCATATGATTTGCAGTGAATTCAAAGAACATATGCTTTACATCATTTCAAATATTTGTTGAGAAAAGAAATTTGAATTATTCAGGAGTGGTATTTGAACAGTGTCAGTCATATTAAGTTTGTACAGTGTTCTGTTCAAGCTGCGTTTACAGCACTGCATACAGTTCTGCTTATGCCTTAGAGACAGTGGGTGCTTGAAGGAGGGTTCTTTATGTAAGGCACAAATGCAAGAAAATTGCAAAAATTAAAAGGTAATTTTTACACAGAGAGTGGTTGGAATATGGGATTCCATGACACTGCCTTTTGTTGAAACAGAGTCCATAAGTTTTTTTTAAAAGGGAATCAGATAGAGGCTTTAAAAAAAATATTAAAGTGTATGGAAAGCCGAATTAGACTAGGTATATTATTCAACGAAGAACATGGGAGTGGATTTGATGAGCTGAATAGCCTGAATCTCTGCTGTAACATCAAATGATTCCATGACCTACTCAAATTGTATAATGTTCTAGTGAAGTTGCACATGGAGCAAGTTCTGGCCTCTCTGACATAAGGGGGTATCCAGATCGTAGAGGCAGTGCAGAGGAGATCACCAAAGCTAAATTTCAATGTTAAAGGGGAATGACTAGATAACTAAGGTCTCCAAGGAAGTGTTTGAGAGCAGAGCTTTCATAAAATGCACATGAGATGCTTAATGAGACAGACAAAAGCAAATGTGGAATAATACTTCTAGATATACAAAAATAACAGGATAAGGGGACATTGAAGAGCAATTATTGGATAGATAAATTATCAGTTGGAATAGATTACCACAAATGGTGTAAGAGATCAGGATTCTGGAATGAGATGACTGGTATTCTAGAAAGTGAACGTCAATTGTGACAAAGGACATTCTTCACTCAAATCTTTGGACTTGAAACTGAGTGAACACTTGTTGATTGTTTTAAGTTCGTGTTAAAGTTGGTGTGTTCATTTGCTATATAGATTTATTTAAAGTAGGGAACTTGTAGATCTTTAGTTCCTCTTTTGCGTGTGGATCTCTACCTCTGTTTCCCATTACTTTTCTTCCTTTGTCTGGGAAGGGAAGATAACTATTACCCATATAACCTTGTGAAAATTCAGCTCAACGAATAAAGTATCATTTCTTCGGGAGTAAAATTGCAGCATTTATGACATTCTCCTTCCAACTCATGTGCTCGTCTTTCGTTTAAAGGGATGATTGTTTTGAATTCTAACCACTTTTCACACACATTAAATAATCTTTGCATCTCACATTCCAGCTAGGAACTATGACGCTTTACAGGGCGATATCCTATCTGACTCCAAATCATGTTGTTGGAGGGTAAAATGCCTTGACCTTATGATTCATTTTTCTAAATGCAATGCTAATGGGATTATTTTGTTGCGTGATCTCTGTTTTAAAAATTGTGCACAAATGTAACATTCTTGTGCATGAATAGTTTTTTTGAACTAGTTTTTTTGAACCACATAAACTTAAAGCACAGAAGAAGGTCATTCAACCCATCACATTAGTGATGGCTCTTTTAAAGAGCGATCCTTTCAGTCCCATTCAGTCCATTGCTGAAGAAATATGTTGTAAGTAGGTCTGAGGAAAACAATCACCCAGCCAGTCCAATTTGACGGTAGTTGATATATTTGTCAGCTGTTCTTGTCAGCACCAGTGCTGAGAAAATAAAAGCAAGGTCTGCTTCTGAAAAAATTGCCACATTTATATTGGCAATCCAAAGCCAAATTATGGATCAATTTGCAACCATTTGCTAAAGCTGTTGATGTCGATGGTTCCAAGTATCTGTTACGTTCAGAAAACCATTATTTTAAGTGTCTGTAATCATACATTACCAGTAGTATGTTAATGTGGAATTTCTGTTAGGCAAAGAACTCTGTATGTCCGTGCATCTGTGAGCTTGTTTTCTTTACTTTTCCTGTCCTCTGATTCTTTCCTGCAGTCACCTGTTGTGCACCTGTTTCTATGCGGGTCAATCGCCTCTGACTTCCTTTGCCTCTACCTCTGACCTCCTCCAGCAGCGACCTCTTTCATCATCCACATCTTGATCCTACTTTCCTCTTCACTGGACATCTTTCATCTACAAAGAACTTGGCTAATAACCTGTTCATATATGATTAGTATTTAAGCATGGTGTTTGGAACTTCTTGGGTGAAAGGTTTCTGACTGAACAAGATCTTGCACTGAAACAATGATTTAACACTTTAGTAAACTATCTCTTGTTTCTTCTTTTGTTTCTCTGTCCAAAATGCTTTAAAAAGTCAAGTTCACGTATTTCCGTTTTTATTTGTTTTTTAATGATAAAGTATATTTTACTAATACTAATTCATGACTTCACAAAGACACTTATGCTGCAGTATATTCAGAGAAAGGAAATTGTGTGAGGTAACATTTGCAGCGCTCCGAGGTGCTATTCTGTGTGAAGAGCGCTAAGTGAAAGCAACTTGTTGTTTGTGCTCTTCAGATCCTGCAGTTTATAAATGGATTTGTATGGCAGTGCATTTTAAATCTTTGTGTTTGTTATTCCTTTTTATTCCAGTCCACTGGATTGCCATGTGAATGCATACTCACGTTGGCAATGTGTCTGTTATGGTGACATTGTTACAGATGCTGCCGCTATTAACTGCCTTGCCTTCCACAGTCTGAGCTATTCTTGCTTTGTGTGACTACTTGTGAGGTTGAAACTAATTAGTGGCTAATGGGCCTGGGTAAATGCTAACAATCATTTGCATGTTGGAGGAAAACCAAGTCATGCTTTTTGACTTGAGAGGGGTAAAAAAAAGGGCATGAATTTGCCATTTTATTTCCTGTAAAAGTAGGGGATTGTTGGGGGAAGAGGTTGTGCTTTGACTGTGGATATGATGGACTTATGATGTACTTTCGATGTTAGTTATCTGAATTCACTTGAAACCCTGGAAAGCATTGATGCTGTTCAATCGTTGCACGGTAAACTTGTGAAACAACAGTTTTCACCTTAAAAATCTAAATATTTAAAAATAAAATGTGTAATGAAACAGTAAATAATTGGCTCAACTGAAGAAATATTCTAAATGTCACAGACAATGTAGGGGCACTTCATTTTAAACTAAGTGCTAAAAAAAACTCAACTTCCAGGTTGTCAGGTCGTTGTTGACATCATATCCTATGGAGTCCTGTAGCTCATTGGTTAGACCACTCGCCTCGCAAGCGAGAGACCCGGGTTCAATTCCCGGCAGGGCGAAATGTTAGACAAGTTTCCTAAATCCACACGCCTGGCAGTAAGTAGGAACCTGGTTGTTAAGTCGATTGGTGGATTGCTTTTTTGGGGGTAATAATTCCTTCAAAAAAAAATTGGTCACTCAGTCCACGACTGTTTGTGGGACACTGCTGTGCGCAATTGGCTGCCGTGTTTTGCCCACAAAATATACAG